CAAAAAGAAGACATGCGATTTTAAATCGTTTTAATAAACAGCTTGTTGTCAGCATTAATTACATTTGTGGATATTATCACATATGATAACGAAGAGTAGTATTTCTTCATTTTCTGTAGCTTTCCTGTAAGTAGTGTTCCCCCAGTGGCACAGCAGTATGTCAGCAGACTTACAACGCTATAAACCGGGTTTCGATATCCGGGGTAGGCAGAACATTGTGTAGCTTTTTGCTTAACTTCAAACAAACAACCTGTAAGTAGCTACTGTTTTTAATTTCAAAGTACAATTTGTTCAAAAATAATTTGAATAAGGGAAATCTTGATCAATGTGAAAATACCTAACATTTAATTAAACAACCAAATACAATATGTATGAGTCACAGTAATATAACTAAACCGTAATGAAATATACAAAATTAATTGAGCTTATTCAATAATATTGCATTTTTTACCGAACAGAACACGTGATACCTTTCAAATGAACGTAATTTATTTAAGATCTTCGAAGAAATATTTGGAAAACTATAGTCAGTATAAGCAAACTTGTATTGATACAGATAGCTCGTTTTAAGTTAAAAAACAAAAAACAAAAACAGATCCTTGCCGTGCCTTTGCAAGACACATAGAGCCTGTGCTTTTGAACTCCGGTTTCAAGTGGCACAAGTGAATTAGAATGGTGACCCATTTCCTCTTGACAGAATACAAGGTTAACCCCAGCTAACAACTAATACCAGTTATACGGCTTGTGAGATATTTTATTTGTTTGCCCTATATTAGATCCACTGGAGAAAGTATCTTGATATCCTAGGAGTAAATCGTGTAATCTATAGCATTGATCAGCTGTCAGAACTCCACAACTCCAGTTATACAGCTCTTGTAACTTAGGGGTAAGCTGCCCTTATGTGAGGATTTGATATCAGACTTCCGACATCTTGCCTCAAATGTGACTACTAGCTTCACATCATGCAATGTCCCATCCAGACTTGGCTCGAATTTTACTGTTTGTTGTGTTTATGGCTCTAATGATGGTATTTAGTCTTTAGATCATGATACTTTTGCCAACCATTAATCCCCTAGGACACACTGGAGTGTTTGGCTTAACCACGCCCCAGTCACTAAATGTGAACTTATTTCTAATAAGTCCTGATGTGATTACTTCTCTTCTTGGTGATACAATGATGGCTCTCTTTGTGGTCACTGGAAATTCAACCTTTGGTGTCATAATTGCCATGCAGTGCAGAGGGATTTCCTGGTCACAAACTATGAAAGCATTTGAAGTTAGTCTAGCCTCACATCCACGTCTCCTCATAAAGTAAGTTCCCAATAAGTGCTCTTCCTCAATGTCAATTACCCACACATCATGAGGTCTAGAGAAGCTTTTCACAGTAATGTTAACTTCAATTCATATTCTTTTTTCATTGCTGGAGACAATTTTCCACGTTATCAAATTAGGATGAACTATTGCAGCTGTAGAACCAGTGTTCATAAACATACTTCAAAGCTTCCCATTAATATACCCGTTGACCCGTGGACTGGTTTCATTAAATAATGAACTTGTTATATCGTACTGGGCAGATGTAATATTCTCACCTAAACTTTGCCCTATAAGTCAAGCTAATTTCTATTTTTCTTATGTTTGGTTAGCTTTTTGTTGTTTCTTGGTTTATTAAAAGCTGTTGTTTCCTGAGAGTATCGACTGTAATAGCCATGTTTCCCACGTCTAACCCTATCCCAGCAAGGTGAAATTGTGTTTTGAAACGCTGTTTAAAAAAATTTAAAAACACCTCCTTTAATCTTTGAGTTTCTTTATTATTATTGTGTGCCTCAAATCGTGTAAGTACATCCCATGGAATTATTTTTTCAATAAAACTACAATTGTTGTATATGTTTTGTTCTGCTGAAAGCATATTCTTTCTCTTGTGTTTTCATACAAGTTATTACATACAAAGAAAGTACCTATAGAAAAATATGAAATAAAGAAAGAAAATCAGATTTTTTAAAAACATTATTGATCAGAAAGCTCCATTTTATATATACAATTACGTTTGCCTTGTTTATAAATAAATCATCATTTATTTACATCTGTTATTTATCTTTACCTATTGAAGCAGTTATGTAGAGAAGAAAACAGCATAAAACGCCGTTGCATTGATAGGTAGAAACGTAACTTGCATTCGTACTGTAGAACTACAATAATATAAGTGATAATTTTCTAATTATATTTTTGGTCAAGCTCAGTTTCTCTCCAATAATTATAATTTATTTTCAATAACTAAGGAGTTCTTGTACTTGTATGTCTTGTTTCAATAATAGTAAATTTATTAATACACAAAAAATAGCTTTTCTGCTACCTGAATAGTCTGGTGTCACAGAACTACTATCCTGGTTCTATCTTGATTGGTGGCTAATGTTTATTACTTACTGTTCAACCTACTTTCTGCAGCATCATAAAAGCCTCTCAAAACAAGTTTTCGAAAATAGATGGGTAGAAATTTACAAAAAAAAAATGTGTAAAGGTTTTGTTACAGGCGATATCCATTGTAAAATTGGTTCTAATAGGCTGAAACAGTTCCCTTTTTCTAACATCCCTTGGTAGAGAAAGTTTTATTCCATACAGGTTTTGTCTGCAGTTCCTAACAATATGTCCTGTCAAGTAACACTTAAAACATTTATTGTCTTGTGGTTTATTCCCTACATTCTGTGTAATTAGTTATCTAACTATTTCTTTCATTTCTTCTCTACTATCGTTGATGTTTCAATACTACTTGATCTGATGGTTCTGTAACGTCTAGGTGGCGCGTTTAGTTGTTTATCTGTGACTTTAGTTAATTCAAGTTCCATCATCAACTGAAGAAGTTCTTATAAAAATGCAAACCTAGTTTACTTTAGCCTCTTATCATATTCTAGCCTGTTATGACTTCTGTAAATTGGTCATATACTAAAGAATCCATTATTTCATGTGGAGTATCTGGGTAAAATTATTGGAAAAGTCTTTCTAAATCTCCTGAAAATTTGGCTAAGGTATCTTCTTTCTTCTCTACCCTTTTCCAGAACTTTTTTTTTGAATATTTCTTTCTGGTGTGTTGCTTCAAACCTCTTGAATAAGGAAGCTACCAATGCTCTTTACTGGAAGGTTGCTTAATGTCATTAAAACTAGCCCTTTTAAATGGGCAGAAAGTTAAAGTTGAATAGCTTGTTTTTCAATATCCCAACTATACACTCTAGAAATTATTTCAAACTGAGACTGATTTTCTTCCTATGATACCTTTCCATCAAAGTCCATTGGTTCCTCAATTGGGTAATGTTTGGTAAAAATGATACCAAGTCCAGTCCACTTATCTGTAATGAATTTTTAGCCGCGGCATAGCGGCTCGAAGAAGGGCTCTGCTCTAAGTTGTTGTTGTTTCTTGTTTGTTTGTTGTTTAAGTACAAACTTTTAGCTCATGACTCCGTCATTTATTGACCGATTTGAGATCTAATTACAGTTTTGGACTCAATAGGTCAAACCCTTTTGATTGATATGTTTGATCACGCCCAAGGTCTCATAGATTAATTTACTCTAATCCTGCCTAAAAGAATTTCAATTTGATAGTAGGCTGGTAGAGATCCAGAGTAATAAAATTGAATCGGGTATACGCGCGTCCCACTCTTGGTATAGCTGGCGCACAAAAATATAGCTAATAAAAAAGAAAGGAAGGTCTCATATATCAATTTACTCTAATTCTGCCTAAGAGCATCTCAAGTGCCGCGGCCATTGAGAATTCTCTCTTGTTTTTTAAATTTTTTGTTACATGGCTAGGCCTAACTTCATAAACAAACTTTTAAACAAATTCCAGACTCTTGGTGGGACAGCAGTAAGTTTATGAACTTACAATGCTAAAATCAGGGTTTCAATTTCCCCTCGGTTGACACAGCAAATAGTCCTATGTGGCTTTGCTGTAAAACACATATACAAACACTCGAAGACTAATGTACACCAAGCTTGCAGAATTTTCTCGCTAATCGGTTGATAATAGTCACTTTTACTGACTAACGTATTAACTTACTTAATCACAGACATATTAATTCTCATTGTCTAATTCATTAACTGAATTACTCAAGTATTGGTTCACTGAATAATTCACTGATTGTATTATTTGTATTGTACTCTCATTGCATACCATACGCAAAACCTGTATATTCCACAGAGGTCTTAACTTTCATGAAATTTCTAGCTATATTGCGTCATTATTACGTAAGGACACACTCTCTCTAGCAAACAAAAATATAAATTAAAATATTCAAAATATAGCTTACAACAGTATTATTTCTTATTATGGTTAACGAGAGGTGGTAATGCTCGAAATTGGCACTATCCACTAGTTGTGGCTTTGTTTATTTAAATAATTACAGGGTTAAGAAACCGACTAAATGGTACATCAGGTCATTGAAATTCATCAAAAACTCTTTCGTGATAAAAAGTATACAGGTTTCATATCAGTCAAATATACGCTATTCTGTTTAACTTAATAAAAAAAACTTAAAACTTAAATGCTGTCAGCATGAGAATTTTACGTACAAACTCCTCATCCAATAAGCGCAAAACTTGTTGAAGAGTTAGAGCTCTACCCTGTTAATAATCGCTACCCGTTTAATATCATAGATACTAATTGCCGCATGTTAGTACATTTTATATTACGCCATTATTCCTTTAAACGTCATCTAACATCAAAAACAAGGATTTAACTTCCATTACATGCCATTATTTTGTCATACAATTCTCATACGGTGTTACAAATTTTACAACCATATAAAAAATGCTTAGGCATTGCAGGCTGTAGCGTTGACAAAATAGGCTTTTCTAATCATATAATTAAACTGATAAAGAAACATAATTATATAAATCAACCAGAAAATAAAAAAATAATAATCAGTACAGAAGCAACATTGGTGTTATGAGACACATATTTGTATATTATTTATATTTTTATTATAATATTTGTTCCTAGTGGTCAACTAAGGTAATTCCTGGTGAAACGCAACTATCTCGCATAATCACGTATTCACGTTCTTTCTTGCGTTGTAAGGAATGGTGAAGAGATACGATGAGGTATAGTTAAATATCTATTTCCATCAAGTTTCGAAAATAACATTATAACTGCTTTAATGGTTTATTTAATTTTATAAATGTAGGGTAATGATATTTTGTCACTAATTTGTCATGCATTCTTAAATTATTTTTTTGTAGATTATAAAGTAGTGTGACCTGATGGGCACTGGCTCTCTGTAAAGTGAGTTATATATTACTGTCTTAGTTTTAAGGTTGTTACAAACGTTAAGATACTTACTCACAATTTTAAGATACTTTTTACTATGTGTATCATCTATCGAGGCCAAAGATTTGAAACGTTCGCTTCAATTTGAGCTTATATTTTTATGAAAGTTTCAGAACTATTATTATTATTATTAAACCGTAAAAGTGTAATTTGTAAATACAACGTTCACTTTGTTCCTATGAATACTGATTCAGTGATACCGTGAATCGCAAATATCGAAATTAGTAATTTCATATAACATTAGTTAATTAAAAATTCAGATTACATGAATATTTTTATAACAGTTTCAATGCCTGATCTTTAGCCAGACGCTTAATACTAATGTTATAGTAATTGTGCTGTACAGCTAACGAGCTATACTTAACAACGAAATTATAATTCCTTATTATATTGAATTTTAAATTATCCTTGCTACCTTTTGAATCTCAGCGTTATATAAAACTAAATATATGTAATTTATGAACTAAGTAATAAAACATAATTTATTTCAACTTCATGTATAAATAAACTAAATACTGATATGCTTTTACACAGTCTTTTCATATGTATCTCTACAGTCACACTCACTGCAAAAGACAAGAAAAACATCTTTCATTTAGAATGAAATTTAAATGTTTATTTTTCTGAGTACATAAATTACAAGTTGGAAGTAGTATGAGTATAACTAAGGGTTGTCAGGATTGTTCAAATACCAGAGGAATCAAACTCATCCAGTAAGTCTGCGTTAGGCTTGGGGCTCTGTTTCAGGTCATGTAAGCAAAAGCAGGGCTAGAGTAATATGTACTGTTTTTGCAACAGATCTATCTAGTGAAATATAAAGATGTTTAGAGAAAAAATTTTTGGATCCATGTGGGTGATCAACGTAAATTTGAGATTGGGCACGAATTTTGTTACATTTTAATCTTAACAGAAACAAGCTTAAATGATGGTCGTATAATGTACTTTAGTTTCAAGTACAGCTGGGCAATTACTGGAGTTTGCTAGTTTAATTAGATTATTAAACATCAATTATTCTTATAATATTAAGAAAAAAAAGAATTATACTACTGCAAATTAGGTTTGTGATACCCATGGTGGGAAGAACAGATAATCCTTTGTGTGTTTGCTTAACAGTAAACTTAATGTCAGTATTTTAATTTATTGGATAGTTGAAATAATGGGAAACTAATTTTGATGGGTAGTGACACTAAATGATTAAACTGAACAAACATGAATTGAAACTATAATCTTTGCATTTTGATTTAACTTATTTCTGTACTTTTTTGATGATCCCTATTTATACCCAGCTGATTTTGCTGTAGTCTTGTGAAACAATAATATGAATAATAATACTAAAATATGCATTCAGAATTTCAGTGAAGTATGAAATTCAGTAGAATAAATCGCCAGTCACAAGAGTGAAAAAAATCTACTATGGTGATTGCCTTTTGTTAGAAAACTCGCTGAAATAGTTGCAGAAAACAAAGTACAGCAGTGAACTCAAGAAACAATGAAGAACGGCAAACTTGGGAAATAATGAATCCTTAATATGGCAGTTTCCAATTAATGCACTAAAAGTTGCACAAATTAACTTACAATTAATGCACATTAGTAAAACCAGGTTTTTTTTAATTGGCATAAAGTGAAGGACTTAGAGAAGTTTTTAAAGGAGAAAATATGAAGATGCTTGGATTAATTTTAAAACTACCCTATGCCGTAATACTGCATTCATTACAGTTGTCCAGATTTCAGTAAAGTTTTGTAGCTTTTTTTTTTTTGTATGGGCTTGTAAAACTGTAATCTATATGAATAACAATAAGGCTGGAGACTAATAAAATGAAGTGTTTCTGATTAGCATAAAATGGAGCATTTCTGACTAGTATAATGGTGCTTAAACATCTTTTACATTTCTACAAAGCTTGAATGGCTTTGAAGAGCTTATATTGTTAGTAAAGTAGAACTTAGAAAATTTTAGAGTGAAAATCTTGATATTCAAGAATTAACTTAAAAACAGCCAATTTTACCTTAGTAAGAGTTTGTTTGGTAACCATGCATAGATTTTGATGCAGCATATAAAGCTGTTTTTGATGTAGGGTTTGGTGCTTGAATGGCTTTGAAGAGAAAATTGGCCCATAGCGATGTAAAAAAAAATAAAAAATCTCCTCTTCCAAGAATCAACATGAAAATAGTCCTGTGCAGGAGCATTTTAGTAGGTTTGAATAAAATGTTCATAGCTGTTTCTGTAGGCTTGTGAAACAGTTATAATATGAAGAACAAATGGATGAATTTTATAACAATTTGAAAATCAACTTTTTTGCAATTATCAATATTTTAGTAGCCTTAACTATTGAGATAATAAGTCTTGAGTGTTGTTTCAAGAAAGTTTGCTTTAAGATGGTTTTTGTCTGTATGTTCTATTAGAGTTTTTGTGAAATTCCACTATTGTGGTACATGATATTTAGCTTTGGTTTTAATGCTGTAAAAGAAGGAAAAGAGGATATATACAGGTAAAAGTAGGTTTAAAATCTAAATTTTATGATGTTATTTAACATGAACTTCTGAGGCCAAGTTCTATGTCACCTAATATATTTTTGCATGTTGAAGCTCTGTGATGTCAATGTCTGTTGCATGTATTACCTGATAACTTATGATGCAACACAAGATTTTCTGAGGGCTATTTCGTAATCAAGTTTATCATTATGCTATAAACTCTAGCTTTACTAATCTCCAATTACATGTTCAAATTGTTCAACAGTGCCATTTGCCATAATTTGAATTCTAACCATGTATGGATGTGCTAATTTAGAACTGATATTGAGACCTTCTGGTGAATTTTATTGAATAAACTTTGAAATATACAAGTTGTCTCAGGTTCATCCTGCTTTGTGCTCTTCACTGGAAATAAGTACCTGGTGTACAGTTTTGTGAAAAGTACATTCAGTGGTCTTTATTTTAGGCCTGATTAAAAGTCAGCAACTTAAAAAGAAATGTACGAGTGTATTCTCTCCTTCAACTATTGGAAAAGTTCTAGGGTCAAATGAGTGCTCCATTTTAGTGACATAAATCTTTTATTTAACTCTTTCAGCACGGACTCGGCCCGTGGGACTGACATCGTAACCATTTTGTGCTTTTTATAGTTTTCATGCTATAACTTTAAAATTAGTAAGCAAATGTTAACGCAATTTGGCAGTTTATCAGTAAACATTACAATGCTTTCATATGCAAGATATCAATTTTTTTCTATTGAGTTTTAAGGTTTGTAAAGCAATGTTTTTCTCATGTCTTATTTTTCTTCTTTTCACATATTACCTATCTATCATGCAAAGTAATTTTCATTTTAACATTAAAAATACTTTTATGCATCTGAAAATTTAGAAATTTCACATGCAAAATCTTTAATGTCCAGATAGTTATCAAACATTTCTTAAGAAAAAACTATTTTATCTGTTATTTTCAGTAATTAATC